CAAAGGTTGGGAAGTCTCAATCTTTTCAGTAGTCATTCTACAAATAAACATCAAAATGAGTGTTTAGAATAACCAAGATACACCCACACAGTATAAAACTGCACCAAAACAGTTCTGTAGAACAATACAAAACTGCAGAAATTTAATATTTCTGTTAAAACTGCAGAAAACTGCAGGACTTTTCAATTTTAAACTGCAGGAAAAAAATGCCGAGATATCCCCGTTAAACAGAAGTAAAATATTGTTAAGAACTGCAAAAATATTTAGATAAAACTGCAATAAACTCAGTTAAAGAAGTGCATAAACAAAAGTTAAGAACTGCAGAAAGATGCTTAAAATGGCAATAGTTTTTTTTTTTGTAAACTACAGGAAGGTGTTTCAAACGTTAAGAAGAAAGAAAGATTGTTAAAGAACAATATATCCTAGACCGAAGCATAAATTTTGAAAGTAAACAATACGATTAGAGTTGTTTATGTTCATTTTCGTAACGAATTTGTTTTAAGCTTTTTGGTAGATACGAATATAACGTAAGAAAAAGGAAAACACGCTGAGGCATGTGTTAAACACAGTGTCCTTAAAACAAATTTGTCCCATTATCGGACGTTTGTTTCCCAGGATACAACAGCAGCACAACGGTTCTTCAAGACCGTTGAATCGAACTAAGCCTGGAAATTACCTTGATAGAGCAGGAAGTTAACACAGAAAGAAGAAGTAGATATTAAGTTGTTTTTAGGTGTGTTTTCTATTTGGAGGAGTGACATACTCATATAGAAAATTTCGTAACCGACAAAATAATAATTAATATGGTATTCATTTACTTCTTAATTATATAACCAAAACCGAAATCAAATTAATTCAGATTTTAAGTATCTAATCAAAACTGAAAATATCTACCATTAATACAAGTTCAATTAACCGAAGCCAAACATAAGGTCAACATGTTTTCTCCTTTTTTTCATACTCAAGGTGAGCAGTGCTATAATAACCATTTCTTTTTCGCATTTTCTATGGGCCTTTAAGTTCACATTTGCCCCCCCCCCCCCCCCCCCCCCCCCCCCGCGTGCAAGAGAGAGCCTTGGTGCTATAAGTCCTATAATCCAATGAAGTGTTTCTACTTATAAACCCTCTTTCTTTTTACTCATCCACCTGGTGGGATGGCTCAAATAGCCATTTACCCACTTTTACTCCTTTCAAGTGCCATACTTTGTTGATTAATTTCTTATTCATACAAAGAAGTTCGTCACCGCACAATGAACGGTGTCCAACACTGGTAACCACAAAGGTAGAAAGTAAGAAAAAAGGAAAGAAAGGTTGGATATTAGATGAGCCTAGAAAACCGTTTAATGAACCATTAAAAGCAGAGAAACATGATAACTAAGTATTATATAAAAACCGAGTCCACATAAATTCAAGTCTCGACGAGGTACTCATTACCTAGTTTCTACACTTACAAACTCTTTTGTGGCTTACCATGACAAATGCACTGGTATTAGGTGGTTATGATGAATTGTGAAGTCCTTTCCCTTAACTACTTAAATTTATGGTCTTGTGACTTCTGCAAGTCGTGTTCATTTGAATTTTATTTATTGTATCTTTAAATCCCCTACATAAAACAATATTACAAAGGCCTAAACCTTGTATGATAACACCATATAAGAACAATGAACCAAAAGGTATGTTATTTGCACATCCATAAATAAAAATTTGGGTGCTATAAAAGAACATATCTAACAAGATAAAACTAAAACCCAACTAATAAAAAGCCTTATCTAACAAGATAAAACTAAAACCCAACTAATAAAAAGCCCTAAACAACTAAAATTTGAGCAAAATGTTAAACTTCAACAATTATATGTCATCAAACTAAAATAGACTCATAAAATCAAGGTACAAGAACAACAAAGAAGACGAGCAGAGGAACGATGATGAGAGCTGAGGTTGCGACGACAAGGAACCACAATGATGAGCAAATGACGGTGATGAGGAATTATATTGGTCCTGAATGGGATAACAATGGTGGTTAGGGTTTGTAGAAGGGGGTTGAATACAAGTACAACTTTTTCAAAATTTCAACTCTTATTGATTATAAATTAATCCATCAAAGAATTACAGATTATTTGTGGAATAAAAAAGGTAAAACTTAACTAACACAATCCAAGTTTTACTATTGAAATTACATAGAGAACACACATTCTCTCTTACAAAATACACACATATGAATATTAGCTCTCTTCGACACACACCCATAAATGAGCTATATACTGGTATTTCTACTTAATGCCTTTAATGCACTATATCAATACAATCCACGTGTCACTATGAGAGAGCCTAGTCTCACTACCAAAACTACCCTATTTTCCGGCGGACAAATCCGCCGGAAATCCGCCGGAAATTAATCCGCCGGAAAAGAGGGCGCCGCTGAATTATTTTCCGTCGAGTTTTCCGGCGGATTTTTTACTTTTTCGGCGGATTACGGCCGCCGGAAATCTTTCGCCGGTTTAATTAAGAAACTTGGTTTAACTTAATAAAAAAATTAAAACTTTTTCCGGCGGATATATCCGCCGGAGTATTTTCTCGCCAGAAAAAACTTAATTAAATGAGATTTTTTTTTAAATTTAAAAATTTTACCGGCGGCCGGATCCGCCGGAAATCCGCCGGTGTTATTTTTTTTTAAACTTTTTATTTAAATAAGATTTTCAAAAAAAATTAAAAAAATTACCGGCGGCCGGATCCGCCGGTGTTATTTTTTTTTAAATTTTATTTAAATAAGATTTTCAAAAAAAAATTAAAAAGATTACCGGCGGCCGGATCCGCTGGAAAAAGAATTTCATTATAAAAAAAATTTATTTTTTGAATAAATATTTAAATCCTGTAAATCTGTAAAAATATGGATAAAACTATAAAATTAAAATGCAACCAAATATCATACATTGATTAAACAATTGTTACAAAACATATACAATTTAAAGTATCACACAATGTTACAAACAAACTAAATTGTTCCAAATAAACAAACAATATTCAATTAGATGGCGGTGGGAATTGTGATTGACGGAGTTCGTTAATCAAAGCAGTCATATCATGCATTTGTTTCAGAAGTTGCTCCTCCACCGTCCGTCGACGCTGATTTTCTTCTTGTAAATCCAGAAATTTGGCCTCTAAGTTTACAATAAAAATAAATAAAACGTTATAATATTTAATATGAATTATAAACTAGATCAATAAACATCATCAAAAAAAAAAAGACACATACTCGTTGTTCCGAAGACGATGAACCAGCTTCCGTGTAGTTGTCGGTCAAGACACAATTGGGATCTTGGTTGTACCCAAACCCAAATAAACGACCTTTTTTGCTTCCCCCAACCGCTTGCTCCCACAGCTCTTTATCAACTAAGGGATAGGTAGAGGGATCATCGCCGTTAAGACCCGTTGAATACTCATCCTATATATGGTTTAAAAAAGATTGCAAGTCAATTTTGACAGCATAACGGCTGTAAATGGGACGTTTCCAGGCAAAAATAGTGATAGATACGAAAATTATATCCAAAACAATCCTAACGTTTGCCCAACAATTGACAACCCAAACTAAAGCATGATATATACGTAAACAATACGGTTGYTTGCCCAACAAATGGCAACCCAAACTAAAGCATGATATATACGTAATTTCTAACGTAAACAATCYTAATGTTTGCCCAACAAATGGCAACCCAAACTAAATAATGAAATATATACGTAATTTCTAACTTAAACAATTATAATGTTTGTCCAATAAATGGCAACCCAATTATAATAGATAGATATATTTATCATGACTTGGCTACACTTAGTGGTCACGTACCCCCCCTAATCCGTAGATGCGGCATCTCCACTCGACCTCTTCTTGTGTGTAATCGAATAATTCCACAACGGTCGGAGGCACGCCATCTTTTGCTCGTGTCTACAAAGGTCAAATTATACAAACATGTGTTAATTATAACATGTTAAAAATCAAACTACTAAATTAATGGGTTTTAGGTTCTACCAGACGAGCACCATGCTCCGAAAATGGTATCGATCCACCGGTGTGTAGCGAAACCTGGCTATCACGGTTCCCTTGCGCCACACCGGAAACAGCCTTCCAATTATCACTATTCCAACGATCGACCATCTGGACCCACACATCTGAAGATATCCAGCTGGGAGGGAAATTCTTCAACACACTCATATCCCGGTGGGGGTCCGTTTCATCGTACTGAGGATACCTATTCATCCTTGCTTTTTCCCCAGCTTTCTTCCTCGCGGCACTCATGTTATCATTATACGGCTTGGCCGACTTTCTCTCCCATATCTCCAACATCTGGGCATCCAAAGCCTGATCCTAAATATAATAGCCCTGTACGTAAAAATTTAGGAGATTATTAGGTTCAATACATAAATTATAATTAGTTGAATATATAACACAAACCTGAAACTGCTCCCACATTCGGCGTCTCACGTCCTTTGGGATTTTCTCCCAAGTGGTCCATGGGCCGTCAAGCAACTCTCGGTTGATCTTGGTGATCCGCCGGATCACTTTGGTGTCATTGAAACTATATAATGACGAATTGAATTAGCATCAATACAAATAATATATTTTTATCAATTATTTAAGGTGTAAATGTATTTACTCTTAGCCGCGGATGCCAATAAACGTCCGCTGTTGTGGAAGCGGCTCCGGAGCAGCACTACCACGTCCAGATTCAATCTCCTCCGGGTGTGCCGAAGCGGTGCTAGAGCCTCTACCCGTACCGTGGGTAGGTGTACTGCCACTAGCTCGACCGGTGATCCGAGTACGCAGCATTATCGATTTTCTACAAAACAACGTTAGAAAACATACAACAATAATTCAAGAGGGGTGAATATTCCACACAATTGAAAACTTCTAACAATGGTTTACTAATTGAGATTTAAAAATGGAAATAATAAAAGTTTAAAACAACAACACAAAGTTTACTAAGACTAAAATTTACAAATGAAGCCTAATCATCTGATGAGTGATCAGACAAGTCAAGTTCTTCGTCCTCAGAGTCACTATCCGAGTATTGGAACTCCTCTTCTTTGTCACTACTCTCATCAACATGCCAGTTGTCGCGACGATCGTTRGCAACTTYGATGTCGTCTTCCMCTGTGACAAGCTGGATTGGTTCTTRAACATCTTCGTTTCCCTCATGTTGGGTTATTCGTTCATTTTCCTGGAAAAACTGTTCATCGTCTATATTTTCATCATCCGACCGGACTTCAGGGGTACTCGATGCTAAGTCATAGACCCCTCTTGGTGTTGTCTTCACCACAGACCACCAATCTTTTAATAAATTCGATGGATATTGTACATAATAGACTTGTTCAGCTTGTGATGCTAGGATGAACGGGTCGTCTGAACGAAGCCTTGATCTATGTTTGACGTCCACGATATTATGTTTTGGGTCAACTCGGACGCCGTTAACTGTGTCAAACCATGTTCATCTGAATAGTGGGACAACACAGCGACCGAGCTCATACCCATGATATTCTATATCGAGGACTTCATCCAACAAGCCATAGTAGTCGGCCTCGGAATCTGAGTAACAAGACCCTCTCACGCATACTCCACTATTATGTGTGGTGCGATTTCTACCATGAGTTAGCGTGTGGAACTTGTAACCGTTTATGAATAACCCCGGGTGTGTCCAAACCGTACGTAACTGTTTGTATGCCAAAATCCTAACAAGTTCTGAAGCAGGGTCTGACCGAGACATAACCTACAATCATGTAATTTGTAATATTTTATCAAGTATAATTAAACAATGATGAATTAAAGTTAATATGTATACACTGGGTATGAAACCATCCAGCAAAGTGATCGCCCCTACGTTTGTCGAAACCCGCATCATCAATATATGGCTCTTTATTTAGGACCTTCGTATTGAAGATATCTATGAACGGAAAAACTTCTTCACAATTCAGTAAAATGTAGGTGTGAGCTTTGTGCATATCTTCATCYGATAGATTAACATGCGCTCCGCCTTTATTAAATAATCCTCGACACGGARTTTTAAATATACTTAACCGTCGGTCTGAAGACGAACAATCGGGGGCAAAATTTCGAGGCTCACGGTTCAAACGTGTCTCCACCGTTGTTCCAAAATACAGCGAGCAGTAGGTAGATAKTTCATTAACCAAATATGCTTCTACAATTAACCCTTCTTCCCTTGATCTGTTTCTCACTGTCCTTTTCAACGACCCTAGACGTCTCTCATAGAGATACATCCATCGATATTGAACCGGACCTCCAACTATTGCCTCACGTGCCAAATGTACCACAAGGTGTTCCATGGAATCAAAGAATCCCGGTGGGAAGACTCTTTCCAACTTRCAGATAGTTTCCACTATACTTGTCTGCAATTGAACCAAGTCGTCAATGTGTAACACCTTTGAGCATATTGCACGAAAGAATGTGCACAACTCAGTGATAGCATCCCATATTGGAGTCGGTACCATCCCTTTTATAGAAAGAGGTAGCAGCCTTTGCATGAACACATGACAGTCATGACTTTTGAAGCCATAAAAACTAYCATCTTCGACGTTTACTAATGCACCTAGGTTAGAAGCATAGCCGTCTGGGAATTTCAACTTCTTCAACCATTGGCACACCTTTCCTACTTGTTGTTTGTTCAATGAATAAGAAGCTTTTGGTTTAAATATTTTATTCCGTTCCTCCCTCACATACAACTCCGGTCGATTGCAGTATTCTTCAATGTCTTTCCTTGCTTTTACGTTGTCCTTCGATTTTGGGGTGTCCATGATGGTGTGAAAGATATTGTCAAACACATTCTTTTCAATATGCATTACATCAAGGTTGTGTCGGATCAACAAAGTGTGCCAATATGGCAGCTCCCAGAAAATGCTCTTCTTTACCCAATTGTGGGTTACCCCAAAACCCACAGGCTTCATATATTGCCTTAAACCGTGTGGGATTCCATCATAGACTGTAGGAAGGCTTCAAACTTGTGTCCATATTTGCTCCTCAGTTAGAAGAGGGGGTGGACTAGCTTTTTCAAACTTGTGTCCGTTAAAGCAAATACGATCCATTAATGTCCAATACGATCCGTTAAAGCCCAATATTTTTTAAATTTTCTTTATTTTTTTAATTTTTTCCGGCGGATTTCCAGCGGATTTATTTTATAAAAAAAACATTATTTATTAAGAGATTCATTTTATATTTTTTTTTAAATTCTAAAACTATTTCCGACGGATTTCCGGCGGATTTATTTTTTTAATTTTTTTTAAATTTTCCGACGGAAATCCGCCGGAAAAATTTAAAAGATTTTTAAAAAAAAATTCTAAAACTATTTCCGGCGGATTTATTTTTAATTTTTTTTAATTTTCCGCCGGAAAAAATTAAAAGGTTTTTTTTATTTTTTAAAAATTATTTTTCTAAAACTATTTCCGGCGGATTTATTTTTTTTTAATTTTTTTAAATTTGCCGCCGGAAATCCGCCGGAAAAATCTTTTTTAATTTTTTTTCAAATATTAATTAATTTTTAAAGATTAATTAACCCTTAATTAAGAAATCTGCCGAAAATATAACCGGTTTATTTTTTCCGGCGGAAGTCAACAAAAGTTGACTTTTTTAAATTCCGCCGGAAATCCGGCGGAATTTGTCCGCCGAAAATGCCCAGTTTTCTAGTAGTGTCTAGGCATGCTTGTATTTTCTCTCGCTATTTTTAACCAATAATAATGAATAGTAGTGGTCATGACTCATGGATGAAATGAAATGGGACAATAAAGCAATAGCCATACTATAATTTTGCCACTTAATTTAAGAGGCCATTTTTGCTTTTCAGAGAGAGAAAGTAGAATCTTCATCAACAAGTCTTTGGTTTAGCGTTTGATTAAAGTTGAAGGTTTCTTCTATGACTTGTAGGTTCTCTCTTTGATCAAGACTCTTATTGATTAGATAGGTTGAACACTGAAACGACTTTAACTCTTCCAACTTTTCTTTATTGTTGTATTTGACTAAGCTTAATCTTATTTTCAATGTGTGGAGTCTTCATCTATTTTATCACTTGATAGGATAGGTTCCTTAAAGAGTGAACTAAATTAATGTATAGTGTTTCTCACTGAGAATGACTTAGTAAGTGATGAGTAGTGCAAAAAAGAAAGAAGTTAAGTGTTTACAAGAGTCATCATCAAAGCACTAAACAGTCTCCCCTTTTTATTAATGACAAAGCTGATAAACTGAAACACATAGTTCGAACGACTATCAATTAGAGATCATAGATTCAATGACAATTTTTCTGTTTTAGGTTCTGTTGATCACTCGGGACCAAAACCAAACCAAAACCTCAAATTGATAAAACCCTAATCTAAACCTTAATTGGTAAACCCTAATCCAAACAAAAAAATGTTATATTATCTTCAGATGCAGGGGAGAAGTACAAAGAAGATGATGCAAAGGAAAAATATAATGATCGTGACCAAGGTTGGGGGAGGGTGCTGGTTCAAAACCCAGATCTTGGAGGTTGTTAGTTTAGATGATTCAAAAGACATAGAAGACCATTGGAAGCATTCTCTGTGAATTGATTTAGAACAGCCGATTACCTTAGAAAGAAATAAATAATATATATATATATATATATATATATATATATATATACATATATAGGGTTGGGTTCACGTGAGACAAAGTTGTTTTTTGTGAGACACCATTTTTACACTTGAAACTTTATAGCAAAAAGATGTGAAGGTAAAAAGAAGTTGAACATTCACAACAAGAACACTCCGTTATCTTCACAGTGTTTTGCTGTGAAATTTCAAGTATAAAAAAGGTGTCTCACGTGTTTCACAAAAACAGTATGGTCTCACATGATCCCAAGTCTATATAAATATATATATACATACATACATACACAAACATATATATATATAGTAACGTAAAATGCGCAAAATAGCAAACTACTTTTATAAATTTTGTTATTATAACATTGTAATTTCAGTTTTCTTATTACAACGATGTACTTTCAAATTGTTTTTTATTAGGGAGTTCTACTTTTAAAATATTACACATTATAACATTGGGTAACCTTTTGATATAAATTTACCCATTATACCATGTTTTCATGTCAACTCATTGCCCACTTAGGCTATCGACATGTGCCATAGTAGTGACCAGGGCCGTTCCTGAGGTTTTTGATGCCCTATGCGAAGATGCTAAAAATATGCCCCTATGCCTTTTTCTTAAGCAAATGAAACGACAAAACATACAATTTTACGACGAAAGATACGATTTCATTAAAATGAAAAATACAAAGGGGACATAAAACCAAAACCCCAAATATAAGTACATCACCTAAAACGATGTCTTCGTGCATTTCTTGAAGCAAAAATATCAATTATTTTTTCATATTCAACATTCGCTAAAAATTTACTTTCAGCAGATGCTACCGTGACGGGTACAGTCAGCAAAATCCTATATGCAAGCAACACATTTGGAAACATATACATCTTCTTTGCAAACTCCAAAATCTCAATTAATGTCCATGGCTTTTCTCCTTTATATGCTTCCGACGGTAACATTTCCTGTAAAATTTGCAATTCCATAAACAAATATTTCCCATCAATATCACAATCATCACCATTTGTTAATGCAACTTCAAGATTCATACAAGAGTTTTTCAATTCTTCATCATTTAAATGAACCAACCTCGACCCGTCAAACAAAAAACCAAAAATCGATTCAAAAATTTTCATTTACTCAAATCTAGTCTTCAATTGAGATAAAGTCATATCAACCAAAACAAGAAAATAATCAGTTCTAAATGTTTCTTGAGCAGATTGTTGTTCTCTTTCTGTATTTGGAATCTCATCAAACTGTTTTTTTCTAAAATAAGAACGTTTTATCGAAAATTCAGGCTCAATTCCAATTTCATTTGCAACATGTTTAGCTTCAATAATGGCAGAAGTAAGTCCAGTCTCCCTATACTTCTCAAAATAACAAACCAATACCTCTAAATTTTTTACCGCACCATCAAGTAGCATATCTTTAGATTGTAACTTTTTGCTAACTAAATTGATTCTATACAAAATTTCATGCCAAATAACTAAACTGACAGTAAATTCAAAACTTGAAAGTTCACCATTTACCAAAGATTCAGCATCTCTACATAATTTTTCATCATCGTTAACTTGAGATAATTTCAACAAAGCTTTCCTTATTTGAGCAAATTGACTTTTTATAGCTTTAACACTTTCTATATGACTTTTCCAACGTGTAGTAGACAAAGATTTCAAAGTCAAATCATCAATAAACTCAAGTAAAACATTTCATCACTTGGTAGAATTAGCAAACACATTGTATATTGTTTGACATGTTCCAAAAAAAGTTTTTGCTTTATGACAAGAATTTTCCATATCACACAGAACTACGTTAAGACTATGGCAACCACATGGCATATAAAATGCTCTAGGATTTACATCAAGCAATCTTTTTTGAACACCTTGGTGTTTTCCTTTCATATTAGATCCATTATCATAACCTTGTCCTCGCACACAATTAATGTCTAAATCTAGAGATTTTAAAACATCTTGTAACACAGTGAAGAGACCTAAACCAGATGTATCCTCTACAACCAAAAATTCTAAGAAGAACTCTTCTACACTTACGGGAGCACACAACATATCAACACATCTAATAATCAAAGCCATTTGTTCCTTGTGACTTGCATCAGGAGTGCAATCAAGAATTACGGAAAAATACTTTGCCTCTTTGATTTTTTTAATAATCACACTGTTAACTTCAGATGCCAACAATTGAATTAGTTCATTTTGAATTTTATGGCTAAGATAATGATAATTAGTTTCTTTGTCTTTAATTAGCCGAAAATGTTGTTTCATGACAGGATCAAACTCCGCAATCATTTGAAGTATACCCAAAAAATTCCCATTAGAATTTTGATAAATTTTTTCATTTGATCCACGAAAAGCCAAATTATATTATGCTAGACACTTCACAACAGCAATTATTCTAATCAAAACTTCTTTCCAATGATCTGTATCTTTCTTAATCAATTCTTGTAATTCTTTATCAATTGTTTGATTTTTATTCAATCTCACTCGCAACTCAGTCCAAGTTCTCAAGTTAATCATATGCTCAGAACTATTTTCATGCAAACTTAATGTTTCACCTAAATGCCTCCAATCATTTATCCCTTCGGTAGCTAATTGACTTCTAGACCAAGCAGTTTTGAATATCTTACAACAAAAACAAAAAACTTTATCCAACTCTTTTGAATAAACCAACCATTTTCTATCATAAGAATCACCATTTCGTAATTTGCGGACATAATGTTCACAAGAAAAATGTCTACCTATTTTATCATTTGGAAAGTTGATGTTGGTTTCCCTTATAGGCCCTTTTTCAGCAAGTAAATCTTTCATTTTTGAATCTAAATCATCCCAAACCCTTGGATCAAAAATATTCAAAGGAACTTCATCATTACATGGATTTTCATCRTCCCCAACTTCATTAGTACACAGATTTTCAATATTTTCAACAAAATCATTGGGATTTTCAGAAACATTCTTAGTGGGATTTTCAAAAACATTTTCAGTGGGATTTTCAGGCACATTTTCATGCCTAACAAAATATCGATTTAACGATCCCTGTAAAGATTGGGCAATTTCTTGTTGTCTTTTCTTTCTTTTTTTATTTTGTGCACCTGATGGTTGTGATCTAGGAAACATGTCTAATATCTTATGAAAATCAAGCAACAAATATCCAAGCAATAGTCAAGCAAGTAAACAACAAGCATAGAATGATAGAACCTGGATTAAGCTCATGCTTTCTTTCCAACTTGAAGACTCGTTTTTGAAGACTTGGCCCTGCTTCCAAATTTCAATCCAGACTTGTTCAACAGTTCCAACTTGGCAACTTCGGACATCCAATTTCCAAA